TCCTGGAACAAGTCTAAAAGGCTCTCCTAATGTGTTGTTAAGTATGTAAAGACAGCTATTATGTCTCAGATCTTCTCATCTTAAAAAGACTAAGATTTTTACATTTCTCAGATACTGCAGGTGACAGCTTTCATCATCCTGGCTGCAACTCAGTTTGTTGAAATTAACTTTTTTTTCATGTGGTATATAACCAGAAATGAAGACAACTTTAAGTGCCGTTTCATCAGTGTGACTATATGTTACTCCTCTCTTGATCCATAAACTTCTGGAAATAGGACCAAAGATTTTAAAAGAACTGTATTAAATAATAGAGACTAGGTGCACCTGAGTGGCTCAGTTGTTAAGCGTCTGCCTTTGGCTCAGGTCGTGATCCCAGGGTTCTGGGATCGAGCCCTGCATTGGGCTCCCTGCTGGGTGGGAAGCCTGCCTCTCCCTCTCCCCCTGCTTGTGTTCCCTCTCTCGCTGTGTTTCTGTCAAATAAATAAATAAAATCTTTAAAATTAAAAATAAATAAATAATAGAGACTAGAAAGCATATTCTCTCTTTAATCTACAGTCCCTTCAAGATTACAAAGATCTGTGAAAGTTGCCCCTGAGGGAATTGTTACCTTTACTTAGGTGGGAAATAGCAAGACGCAAGATACCCTGATCTGTTCTAGTCTGGGACCTGATCTAAGCCATTCTGCTAGACTTCACCTTGGTTCAGAGGAAGCAGTTTTCTCCCCAAATGTATAGCCAGAGTTTACCCGAGTATTGGTGGTATAGTCCACTTCTAGCATATCATATTTTCCAGGCACCTTCTCAAACTTCTCACGATCCTTCCAATTGTTTTTTGTTTTGTCAAGGAATCTGTGGGATCCACAATGGTGAGAAAATCTTACAAATAAGGGTCTACTACTAGGAATGGGCTTATAATTGTTTCTTTCTTTCTTTTTTTTTTTTTATTTTGCGAGAGAGAGAATGAGAGAGAGCATGAGAGGGAGGAGGGTCAGAGGGAGAAGCAGACTCCCTGCTGAGCAGGGAGCCCGATGTGGGACTCGATCCTGGGACTCCAGGATCATGACCTGAGCCGAAGGCAGTCGCTTAACCAACTGAGCCACCCAGGCGCCCCTTATAATTGTTTCTTTAGAACACCTCCAAACTATTTTTTTTCCCCAACTATTTCTTAGAACTCTTATATCTGACTTCCCAAAAATCTGGATTCTAAATTAGGACCCTGAATGAAAAAAAAAAAAAAAAGCTCTGGAGTCAATGGGAACAAAAAATGGGAAAAAAGGACTCTTGAGCTTCCCAAAGGCCCCCAAATACCCACAAAAACCTTTGAGATTTTAGACAAAAGACCCCTTTCTAATCCCTTTCTCTGAAAGATTCCCAGAGGCCAGAAAGCTCTGCCTCCGTATCATAGTGAAAGAAGTTTTAAAACTCTAACTGAATATTCTCATCCCATCCACTTTTCCCAAATTTCCTTAATTGTTGGTCATGTGCTAAGTGTATTAGATTCTTCTGTTTTTAGTCAATTTCAAGGTTCCAGGTGATGTAATCACTAACTAAGGATGCAGTTTGGTGTCCCAGTCATAGAATGTCACAGTGGAAATACATTAACATTGAGGCCAAACCACACTTATTATAAAATTCTTAAAGAAGATACATCCAAGAAGAATGGTATTTTTTTGGTACTCATTTCTTAGCACTCACTTCTTCTGAAAGATTTCCTTGGCTTTGTTGAAGTCCCCTGAACAAGCCACCAAGCTGTGCTGCCCCGTTTTCCCAACTGCAAAGCAAATGCCACATATAAGATGGTTTCCTGCCTCCCAATCCAAGAAGAGTTTTCTCAAGTAATAAGCCAGCTCTCTAAGGTCTCCCTGCTTAGTATCTGACAAATGGGCAGGAAGGGGAGAGGGAAATTACGGTAAATGGGCCCAGGAAACTGATCCTGTTGATATTAGTTACCTCTAACTGCCACAGTCTCTGAGCAGCATTAGCAGACCAAATGCAGGACACTTCCCAGCCTCAACAGGCTGCTGTTAGTTTTTCCAGTGGGAACTTCCTAATGAAGATGCTTGCTATTTCCCATTTGCAAGCCCCTCCCAGGTTATAAAGCCTCCATTCCACCAATTTAAACCCAGAGGATCTTCTGGTTACTCACTAACCTGTTTCTGGCTTTCTGAATGACAAATCAGAAAATCCATAACAAGAGTCATTACCTCGGCCCCATCTCATCCAAACGCTGAAGTGCCTCTGGGCATCATCTTCTAACAGCTGAATCAAATAGTACTTGTTGTTGTTGAACTGAAGATTGGTCTATGGTAAGAGAAATATGAACATAAGAGAGAGGTTTACAAATGGGAGCCACATAAACTGATGTCTTCCTTGGTCACAGGTACCAGTAACTGCTGTAGGGAGAAGACTATACTATAAGGCTAGTATCAGGGACTTCAGAATTAAAGATAGGGGCGCTGGGGCACTCTCATCAGTAAGTATCAAGGAAAAAATTCCCATACATAGAACAGCTCTTCCCCTTACCTGATTTAGCAAGACATCATAGACATCATTCCCTTCACAGTACACATGGGCCTAGAGAGAGAAGGAAAACACTGACATTAGTATAGTCTCAGTCCTCATGAGATCCTTAGTGATGCTCTAAATTTTATTCTGTCTCAAGGCGTCATTCTCCAGCACTACCAATATCTACCTTCCAGGGAAAGAACTGCAAAGGGATGTTCTTCTACACATAATGTGTTATTCCTATAATGAAAACATGTTGCTTTTTTTTGTAATTACAGAGAAACAAATGATTCTAATAGTTAAATTCCTTTAAGCTGCTCCAAAGGAAGCCTTTCTTCCGTATTCTTCAAATCCTTTTCCCATTCATCAGTAATTCATGCCATACCAGAGCACAGTTTCTCATTAGAACAAAGATGGGTCTTCCTTGATAATGGCATAATTTGCTAACTGAGAAAGAGAATGAGGTGTGGAAAGCTGATGACAACCCCAGAAGTTAAAAAACACCCTGATTATTAATGCCAAACTCCACCACTCCCATATGTTAGCCTTGGAGAAAATTAATCACTAGTAGTATTTTGGAGAGGACTCCTAAAATGAATACTAACAGTGTTCTGGACAGGAATCCCAGTAGCAAAAGAAAAACTGCTCTCTGAGAAATCGATAGGCAAAGGAGTCTCTCACCTTCCCCACCTTGGCTGTGCACTCGGGGTCCACGGGAGCTTTGCCCTTTAACAGCAAGGTCTTCACAGACTCTGAGGGAAGACAGATACGTACTACAGCTACTTGTATGGGAATCAAAAATAGCTATAACAATAAAGTTATAATAAAGTTCATAATGAACTTTGCCCTTCCCAAGCAATCCTGATCTGTCCAGGTCTCAATCTGTCTAAACTACATGAAACTGAAGATTCTGAGAAAGGAGATTCGTACTGTGGTATGCCCGAAGGATAGAAAATTAATTATATCTTCAAGAAAGGAAGAAGTAAGAGTTGAAAGAACAAGGCATCCCTTGCCCTCACCCCTCCCATAGACAATCCTGCTAGGCCATGTCCTTCCTGGCCTACCACTTGAAGCTGACCTTGCTTGTCTTCTGTCCTGTCATTATTGGCCTCTCCTCCAGCCACAGGCTCCTTTTTCACCCCCTGCCTCTGGCATCTTCGAGTTTTCTTTGCAGGAGGAGGGTCTTCTATAGCCGTGCTGCCATTATGAACTCTTCCAGCTTCATTTAATGCTACAGAAGCCATGGGCATGAAGAATGGGCAAAGAATCAAAAGAAAGAATGAGTACCCACTCATTTCAATCCTACTTTGAGAAAACATCATCTTTTTAAAGAAATGGTTCAAGATGGTTTTGTAAATTTACAAAGAAATAACTGCCATGCCACTGTTCTTGACAATAGTTTGAGAAATCACTTCCTAAATTGCGATTCTAGCCAAATTAAAATAAAATAAAATAAAATAAAATAAAATAAAATAAAATAAAATGGAGCCCCAGGGCTCTTGTGAGCTCATAGCCTGAGGCATGAGTGTCATAGACTGCTTATCTCTGTTTACCTGTGCCCCCAAACTTTCCCAATACCTATCTTTAAACTACCTAAGGTGGTATGAGATAATGGTTAATAGAGTGCTCTGGAATCTGTCTCTAGTTTAGAGCCTAGCCCTGTCTCCAACAGCTGTGGAACTTTGTAGAAGTTATTTCATCTCTTTGCACCTCAATTGCCCCGACTGTAAAATCCAGAGGATGACAAAATACTACCTAATTTGTAGGATGGACCTACACATTTGTAGGATGGATGCATTTAAGAACATAACACACAGGGTATAATACTCATCAGTTCTAAGACCTGAATTTTACTATCTTTGAAACTGGGATGCACTTAACAATGGATGACATATAAACAATGAATCACGTCTTAATTGGAAGCATTTTCTCCTTTCCTAGTTATACATAAAATAATGATGCATCTTAAAATTTTTTTAATTGGATGGCATTAAGTATTTAAAATAATGCTGGCACTCTGTTAGTTACTACAGGTCCACAAGCCCTTATACACAATTCCGTAATCCAAAAAGCTCTGAAAACGGAAACTTAAAAAGTTTAGCACCTAAACTAGCTTGATAGCCAAGGGCGGGTCAGGGGGCGGCGGAAGGGAAAGGGCTAGAGCAGAGGGCCCCGTTCCCCGTCAGACTCGTCGCCCCGCAGCGTTCGCCCCCTACAGTGTGCACCGAACCTCGGGCCCCGCCGCTGCGCGTCCCCCGCCGTCGGGCAGCCATGGAGCCTGAACGTTCCCGTCAGCAAGCCTCTTCCAGGAATTGCCCGCTTAGAGTCACAGGGCGGGAACACAGCGCGCGTGCGTGCGTCCTGAGAAGACACGGACAAGGGACAGGGGAGGTACTCCCCGCTATATTTGCATGTTGCTATGTATTGTGGGAAGTCACCATAACTGATAAATGCATTTAGGTGCGGGAGCCTTATAAGTGCTCTCTGGGGCCACTCTTTTCCATAGGGCGGAGGGAAGCTCATCGGTGGGGCCACGAGCTGAGTGCTTTGTGTCACTCTACCCCATGTCCCCTGGGAAGGTCTGAGACTAGGGCCATAGGGCGGCTCTAACAGGGTCCTCCCTGAGTGTCGGGGAGGTGAGTTCCCAGAGAACGGGGCTCCGCGCGAGGGCAGACTGGGCAGGAGATGCCATGGACCCCGCCCCTCGGGGCGGGGCCTGGCGGATGCCTCCTTAGCCGGAGCTTGGAACAGACTCACGGCCGGCAAAGTGAGTTCAATGGCTGAGGTGAGGTACCCCCGCCAGGGGCCTCATAACCCAATTCAGACTACTCTCCCCCGCCCTCTTTTGAAGAAAGCTGTGGACCAGAAGGAGTTTACGAATTCTAAGAATGCTAGTGAAGAAAGCGTGGGAAAGTTTGCGAGGGAAAAAGGCCGCAGGAAACTGCAGAGCCAAGGGGAGAATGCAAGCAAGGGGAAGGGAAGCTCTTGGAGAATGCTAATGATCTTGGGAGACTTTGAAGACAGAGAAACCCAGTCGCCCAGTTTTTGGAAAGGTAATTGGTGATGACATTAGGTCAGGAATGGGGTGGTGGCAGCGCACTTAACAAGCAGGCCTCTGACTCAACCACCCAGACCCCCTGAATCTGAGGTTCTGCATTTGGACCTTGAGGTAAGGAAGGGGTTTCTTAAGACACTGAGAGTAAGAGAAAAATACTGATAAATTTGATTTCTTAAAATTAAAGAGTTTTGTCTATCAAAACACATAAAATTTAGAAAGAAAACAAAATTCTTATTTGTATGTGGTTTGGTTGTGAATATAAAAAAATCCAGAAGAAACCACAAGATAAAATTTTTAACTCATTAGGGAAGTTTAACAAGGCTGATAGAAAATAACATATAAGAATAAATTGCTCTTTATAACAGAACTTCAAACAAATAGAAATAGAATTTTTAAGAAATGATAGCATTTAATATAACATCAGAGTCTATCAAATACTTGGAAATAAAGTTGACAAAATATAGGTGCTCAGCAAATGTTTGCTGGATTGGATTGGATTGGTTATTTCCTTGGTAGGTCAACATCTGTTGCATCTAATTTAATTATGGCACAAATAAGCTAGACTGGTCTAAAAAGCATTAATTTGGAGATAGGAAAATGTAGTAAAAATAGAAAATTTGTTAAAAATACTTATTAGAGCTTTATGTACTAGACAGAGTTTTAAGTGCTTTAACATGTATAACGTCATTTAATCTTCAAGTTGATAATACCTAGAATTTATTTGGTGATTACAATGCTATGAGCTTTACAAACATTATTTTTTTTTCTTTTTTTTTTAAAGAATTTATTTATTTATATGACAGAGAGAGAGATAGAGAGAGCAGGAACACAAGCAGGGGGAGTGGGAGAGGAAGAAGCAGGCTTCCCACCGAGCAGGGAGCCTGATGTGGGACTCGATCCCAGGACCCTGGGATCATGACCTGAGCCAAAGGCAGACACTTAACGACTGAGCCACCCAGGCACCCTTTACAAACATTATTTAATTCTCACAACAACCCTATAGGGCAAGCATTATTATTGTCCCCATTTTATGCTAAGGAAGCTGAGCTTTAGAAAAATTTAAGTAATTTATTCAAGCTCACATAGTATATTAGTTTACTAGGGCTGCCATAACTGTCATAGACTGGGTGGCTCAAACAACAGAAATTTATTTTCTCAATTCTGGAAGCTAGAAATCCAAGATAAGGGTGTCTACAATGTAGGTTTCTTCTTTTTCTTTTTTTTTTTAATTTTAATTTTTAATTTAAAAAGATGTATTTATGTATTTATTTATTTGAGAGAGGGGAGAGAGTGAGCAAAAGCAGGGGGAGCGGCAGAGGGAGAGGGAGAAGCAGATTCTTTGCTGTGCGGGGAGCCTGATGTGGGCTCCATCCCAGGACCCCTGGATCATGACATGAGCTGAAGCCAGACGCTTAACAGGTTGAACCACCCAGGCACCCTTAGGTTTCTTCTAAGGCCTCTCTTCTTGGACTGCAGATTGCTGTCTTCTTCCCGGTCTTCCCATGCATTGTCCTCCCTCTGTGTTTGTCTATGTCCTAATCTTGTCTTCTTATAAGGACACATGATACTGGATGAAGACCCACTCATACGACCTGTTTTAGCTTAATTACTTCTTTAAAGGCTCTACCTCCAAATACAGTCACATTTTGAGCTCCTGACGGGTTAAAACATATACATTTTTTTGGTGGGGGTACACAATTCAGCTCATGACACACAGTTCATAAGAGGCAGGACAGATTTAGGTAACTCCAAAATTTGTTCTTATCCACTAAGCTATTGTATTCGTCAAGTTTCTTGGTAGTAATTATCATCCCACACATATTTTTTAAAATTTATTTTTATTTTTTCCTCTCTTTATTTAGTTGTTATTTTTTTTATGGTGATCAGAGTGAGAATTACTGAAATTATTTTTGAAGATACAGCTTTCTATAGTCAGATACAAAGTAAACATAATTAAAATGGTATTTTTTCGTATTAACATATATTGTATTATTTGTTTCAGGGGTACAGGTCTGTGATTCATCAATCTTACACAATTCACAGTGCTCACCATAGTACATACCCACCCCAATGTCCATCACCCAGCCACCTCATCCCTCCCACCCCCACCACTCCAGCAACCCTCAGTTTGTTTCCTGAGATTAAGAGTCTCTTATGGTTTGTCTCCCTCTCTGGTTTCATCTTGTTTCATTTTTCCCTCCCTTCCCCTATGATCCTCTGTCTTGTTTATCAAATTCCTCATATCAGTGAGATCATATGATACCTGTCTTTCTCTCATTGACTTTTCACTTAGCATAATACCCTCTAGTTCCATCCACGTCATTGCAGATGGCAAGATTTCATTTTTTTGATGGCTGCATAATATTCCATTGTATATATATATATACCACCTCTTCTTTATCCATTCATCTGTTGATGGACATCTAGGCTCTTTCCATAGTTTGGCTATTGTGGACATTGTTGCTATAAACATTGGGGTCCATGTACCCCTTCGGATCCCTACATTTGTATCTTTGGGGTAAATACCCAGTAGTGCAACTGCTGGATCATAGGGTAGCTCTATTTTCAACTTTTTGAGGAAACTCCATACTGTTTTCCAGGTGGCTGCACCAGCTTGCATTCCCAACAGTGTAGGAGGGCTCCCCTTTCTCTGAATCCTCACCAACTTCTGTCGTTTCCTGATTTGTTCATTTTAGCCATTCTGACTGGTGTGAGGTGGTATCTCATTGAGGTTTTGATTTGGATTTCCCTGATGCTAAGTGATGTTGAGCACTTTTTCATGTGTCTGTTGGCCATTTGGATGTCTTCTTTGCAGAAATGTCTCTTCACGTCTTCTGCCCATTTCTTGATTGGATTATTTGTTCTTTGGGTGTTGAGTTTGGTTAAGTTCTTTATAGATTTTGGATACTAGCCCTTCATCTGATATGTCATTTGCAAATATCTTCTCCCATTCTGTCGGTTGTCTTTTGGTTTTGTTGACTGTTTCCTTTGCTGTGCAAAAGCTTTTTATCTTGATGAAGTCCCAATAGTTCATTTTTGCCCTTGCTTCCCTTGCCTTTGGCAATATTTCTAGGAAGAATTTCCTGTGGCTGAGGTCAAAGAGGTTGCTACCTGTGTTCTCCGTAAGGATTTTGATGGATTCCTGTCTCACATTTAGGTCTTTCATCCATTCTGAGTCTATTTTTGTGTGTGGTGTAAGGAAATGGTCCAGTTTCATTCTTCTGCATGTGGCTGTCCAATTTTCCCAACACCATTTCTTGAAGAGACTTTTTTCCATTGGACATTCTTTCCTGCTTTGTCAAAGATTAGTTGACCATAGAGTTGAGGGTCCATTTCTGGGCTCTCTATTCTGTTCCATTGATCTATGTGTCTGTTTTTGTGCCAGTACCATACTGTCTTGATGATGACAGCTTTGTAATAGAGCTTGAAGTCCGGAATTGTGATGCCACCAGCTTTGCTTTTCTTTTTCAACATTCCTCTGGCTATTCGGGGTCTTTTCTGGTTCCATACAAATTTTAGGATTATTTGTTCCCTTTCTTTGAAAAAAGTGGATGGTATTTTGATAGGGATTGCATTAAATGTGTAGATTGCTCTAGGTAGCATTGACATCTTCACAATAGTTGTTCTTCCAATCCATGAGCATGGAACATTTTTCCATTTCTTTGTGTCTTCCTCAATTTCTTTCATGAGTATTCTATAGTTTTCTGAGTACAGATTCTTTGCCTCTTTGGTTAGATTTATTCCTAGGTATCTTATGGTTTTGGGTGCAATTGTAAATGGGATCGACTCCTTAATTTCTCTTTCTTCTGTCTTGTTGTTGGTGTATAGGAATGCCACTGACTTCTGTGCATTGATTTTATATCCTGCCACTTTACTGAATTCCTGTATGAGTTCTAGCAGTTTTGGGGTGGAGTCTTTTGGGTTTTCCACATAAAGTATCATATCATCTGCAAAAAGTGAGAGTTGGGGTGCCTGGGTGGCTCAGTCGTTAAGCATCTGCCTTCTTTGGCTCAGGTCATGATCCCAGAGTCCTGGGATCGAGCCCCACATTGGCCTCCCTGCTCGGTGGGAAGCCTGCTTCTCCCTCTCCCACTCCGCTTGCTTGTGTTCCTGCTCTCTCTCTCTGTCTGTCTCTGTGTCAAATAAATAAACAAAATCTTAAAAAAAAAAAAGTGAGAGTTTGACTTCTTCTTTGCCAATTTGGATGCCTTTTATTTCTTTTTGTTGTCTGATTGCTGAGGCTAGGACTTCTAGCACTATGTTGAATATCAGTGGTGATAGTGGACATCCCTGCCATGTTCCTGACCTTAGGGGAAAAGCTCTCAGTTTTTCCCCATTGAGTATGATATTCACTGTGGGTTTTTCATAGATGGCTTTTATGATTTTGAGGTACATACCCTCTATCCCTACACTGTAAAGAGTTTTAATCAAGAAAGGATGCTGTACTTTGTCAAATGTTTCTTCTGCATCTATTGAGAGGATCATATGGTTCTTGTTCTTTTTTTTTTATTAATGTATTGTATACATTGATTGATTTGCAGATGTTGAACCAAGCTTGCAGCCCCGGAATAAATCCCACTTGGTCGTGGTGAATAATCCTTTTAATGTACTGTTGGATCCTATTGGCTGGTATTTTGGTGAGAATTTTTGCATCCATGTTCATCAGGGATATTGGTTTGTAGTTCTCCTTTTAATGGGGTCTTTGTCTGGTTTTGGGATCAAGGTAATGGTGACCGCATAAAACGAGTTTGGAAGTTTTCCTTCCATTTCTATTTTTTTTTTTTAAAGATTTTATTTATTTATTTTGAGAGAGAGAGAATGAGAGACAGAGAGTATGAGAGGGAGGAGGGTCAGAGGGAGAAGCAGACTCCCTGCCAAGCAGGGAGCCCGATGCGGGACTCGATCCCGGGACTCCAGGATCATGACCTGAGCCGAAGGCAGTCGCTTAACCAACTGAGCCACCCAGGCGCCCCCATTTCTATTTTTTGGAACAGTTTCAGAAGAATAGGTATTAATTATTCTTTAAATGTTTGGTAGAATTCCTCGGGGAAGCCATCTGCCCTGGGCTCTTGTTTGTTGGGACATTTTTGATTACTGCTTCAATTTCCTTAGTGGTTATGGGTCTGTTCAGGTTTTCTATTTCTTCTTGGTTCAGTTTTGGTAGTTTATACTTCTCTAGGAATGTATCCATTTCTTCCAGATTATCTAATTTGCTGGCATATAGTTGCTCATAATATGTTCTTATAATTGTTTATATTTCTTTGGTGTTGGTTGTGATCTCTCCTCTTTCATTCATGATTTTATTTATTCAGGTCCTTTCTCTTTTCTTTTTGATAAGTCTGGCCAGGGGTTTATCAGTCTTATTAATTCTTTCCAAGAACCAGCTCCTAGCTTCGTTGATCTGTTCTCCTGTTCTCCTGTTCTTTCTAGTTCATTGATTTCTGCTCTGATCTTTATTATTTCTCTTCTCCTGCTGGGTTTAGGCTTTATTTGCTGATCTTTCTCTTGCTCCTTTAGGAGTAGGGTTAAGTTGTGTATTTGAGACCTTTCTTGTTTCTTGAGAAAGGCTTGTATTGCTATATACTTTCCTCTTAGGACTGCCTTTGCTGCATCCCAAAGATTTTGAACAGTTGTGTTTTCATTTTCATTTGTTTCCATGAATCTTTTTAATTCTTCTTTAATTTCCTGGTTGACCCATTCATTCTTTAGTAGGATGCTCTTTAGCCTCCATGTATTTGAGTTCTTTCCGACTTTCCTCTTGTGATTGAATTCTAGTTTCAAAGCACTGTTGTCTGAAAATATTCAGGGAATGATCCCAATCTTTTGGTACTGGTTGAGATCTGATTTGTGACCTAGGATGTGATCTATTCTGGAGAATGTTCCATGGGCACTAGAGAAGAATGTGTATTCTGTTGCTTTGGGATGGAATGTTCTGAATATGTCTGTGAAGTCCATCTGGTCCAATGTGTCATTTAAAGCCTTTATTTCCTTGTTGATCTTTTGCTTAGATGATCTGTCCATTTCAGTGAGGGGGGTATTAAAGTCCCCTACTATTATTGTGTTATTGTCAATGTGTTTCTTTGATTTTGTTATTAATTGGCTTATATATTTGGCTGCTCCTATGTTAGGGGCATAGATATTTAAAATTGTTAGATCTTCTTGTTGGATAGACCCTTTAAGTATGATGTAGTGTCCTTCCTCATCTCTTATTATAGTCTTTGGTTTAAAATCTAATTTGTCTGATATAAGGATTGCCACCCCAGCTTTCTTTTGGTGTCCATTAGCATGGTAAATGGTTTTCCACCCCCTGACTTTCAATCTGGGGGTGTCTTTGTGTCTAAAATGAGTCTCTTGCAGACAGCATATCGATGGGTCTTGTTTTTTTATCCAATCTGATACCCTGTGTCTTTTGATTGGGGCATTTAGCTCATTTACATTCAGGGTAACTATCGAAAGATATGAATTTAGTGCCATTGTATTGCCTGTAAGATGACTGTTACTGTATATTATCTGTGTTCCTTTCTGGTCTATGTTACTTTTTGGCTCTCTCTTTGCATAGAGGACCCCTTTCAATATTTCTTGTAGGGCTGATTTGGTGTTCACAAAGTCTTTTAGTTTTTCTTTGTCCTGGAAGCTTTTTATCTCTCCTTCTGTTTTCAATGACATATCTAGCTGGATATAGAATTCTTGGCTGCATATTTTTCTCATTTAGTGCTCTGAATATATCATGTGAGTACTTTCTGGCCTACCAGGTCTCTGTGGATAGGTCTGTTGCCAATCTAATGTTCCTACCATTGTAGGTTACAGACCTCTTGTCCTTAGCTGCCTTCAGGATTTCTCTTTGTCTCTGAGACTTGTGAGTTTTATTATTAGATGTCGGGATGTTGGCCTATTTTATTGATTTTGAGGTGGGTTCTCTATGCTTCCTGGATTTTGATGCCTATTTCTCTCCCCAAATTAGGGAAGTTCTGTGCTATAATTTGCTCCAATATACCTTCTGCCCCCCTCTCTCTTTCTTCTTCTGGGATCCCAATTATTCTAATGTTGTTTCACTTTATGGTATCACTTATCTCTCGGAATTCTCCCCTCATGGTCCAGTAGTTGTTTATCTCTTTTTCTCACCTTCTTTATTCTCCATCATTTGGTCTTCTATATCACTAATTTTCTCTTCTCCCTCATTTATCCTAGCAGTTAGAGCCTCCATTTTTTATTACACCTCATTAGCATCCTTTCTGATTTCTACTTGGTTAGATTTTAGTTCTTTCATTTTTCCAGAAAGGGATTCTCTAGTATCTTCTATGCTTTTTTTCAAGCCTAGCTAGTACCTTTTTTTTTTAAAAGATTTTATTTATTTATTTGACAGAGAGAGAGTTAGTGAGAGCAGGAACACAAGCAGGGGGAGTGGGAGAGGGAGAAGCAGGCTTTTCACTGAGCAGGGAGCCCAATGCTGGGCTCGATCCCAGGACCCTGGGATCATGACCTGAGCCGAAGGCAGATGCTTAACGACTCAGCCACCCAGGCGCCCCCCAGCTAGTATCTTTATAATTGTCATTCTGAACTCTAGTTCCGACATCTTATAGCGTCTGTATTGATTAGGTCCCTGGCAGTCGGTACTGCCTCTTGTTCTTTTTTTTGAGGTGAGTGTTTCCGTCTTGTCATTTTGTCCAGAGGAGAATAGATGAATAAGAGAACAAAATGCTAATAGGGTAACAACGACCCCAGAAAAATATATGCTAAACAAATCAGAAGAGACCCAAAACTGGGGGGGGGGGGAAGAAAGGGGGAAAAAAAAAAAGAATATGATCAGGCTGGTGAATAGAACAGAGCCACACAGTAGATTTTAGGTGTATTTTGATCTGTTAGAAGAAATTGCCTCCCAAAATTTTAAAGAAAGAAAAACATATATATACAAAAATAAGGGTAAATATGATGAAGGGATGGAATATGACTGTAAAGATGAAAATTAAAAAAGATTTTATTTTTTATATTTTTTAAAGATTTTATTTATTTATTTGACAGAGAGAGAGAGACAGCGAGAGAAGGAACACAAACAGAGGGAGTGGGAGAGGGAGAAGCAGGCTTCCTGCGGAGCAGGGAACCTGATGCAGGGCTCGATCCCAGGACCCTGGGATCATGACCTGAGTCGAAGGCAGACACTTGACAACTGAGCCACCCAGGTACCCCTAAAAAAGATTTTATTTATTTTTTATTTTATTTTTTTTAAAGATTTTATTTATTTATTTGAGACAGAGAGAATGAGAGAGAGAGAGCACATGAGAGGGGGGAGGGTCAGAGGCAGAAGCAGGCACCCTGCCGAGCAGGGAGCCCGATGCAGGACTCGATCCCGGGACTCCACGATCATGACCTGAGCCGAAGGCAGTCGCTTAACCAACTGAGCCACCCAGGCGCCCTAAAAAAGATTTTAAAAAAGGAATTGATAAGATAAGAAGTTGGTTGAAAAAAGAATTAAAAAAAAATTAAAAAAAAAGAGAGAGATAATGTGATCAGGAGGGAGACTAGGACAACATCATACACTAGATTTAGGGTATATTTTGGTCTGTTAGAAGAAATTGTATCCCAAAATTTTAAAGAAAGAAAAACTTATATATATACAAAATAAGGTTAAATACAATGAAGAGATAGAATATTACTGTAAAAATGAAAATTAAAAAAAGATTTTAGAAAAGCAATTGATAAGATGTTGGTTGAAAAAGGAAAGAAGGAAAATTCAACTAAAAAAATAGAAAAAAAATAAAGAAAATTAAAAAAAATTAACTTTGAAAGACTAAAGAATCATGGGAAAAAAGCCATGAATTCTATGTGCAGGAGTCCCCTAGCGCTGGAGTTCTGCCATTCTCATTGATCGGTAAACTTGGTCTTGGCTGGCTGTTCTTGCTGATCTTCTGGGGTAGGGGCCTGTTGCCATGGTTCCCAAATGTCTTTGCCGGAGGTGGAATTGCCCCGCCCTTGCCCAGTCCAGGCTAAATAATCTGCTCGGGTTTGCTCTCGGGAGCTTTTGTTCCCTGCAAGCTTTCCATACAGCTTTGGAGGACGAGAGTGAAAATGGTGGCCTCCCAATCTCCGCCCTGGAGGAACCGAGAACTCGGGGCCCCGCTCCTCAGCGAGTCCCCAGAGAAAAGCCGTCAGTCACTCCCGTCTCCCTGGTCTCTGGCCGCACTCCGTGCTCACCCGCCTGTGACCGAACGTTTCTATCTCTGGCACATGACCCCGTGTGGCGTCTCCAAACCCAGCAGATCCCTGTGGTGCACTCCCGCGCTGCTCCTCCTGGGGGAGGAAGGGGAGTCTCCCCGGATCTGCCACTTGTTGGGTCCCTGCTGGAAGAGCAGTGTCCTGACTGTGCCACGGATCACGGTTTATGGCAACCCCTGAGCTGAGAGCTCACTCCTTGGCTCTGTCTTTTATTTTTAATTAAAATAGTATTAAAACATATCATCAATAACCAGAAGAAATTATTTAACAGCGGTGTGGTGAATGATAATTTTCTTAGGTCTTAAACAAAGCAAGAAAATAGGAAAGTAACTTACTTGATTATATATTCTTAAAAAAGAAAATGAGGGGCGCCTTGGTGGCTCAGTTGGTTAAGCATCTGTCTTTGGCGCAGGTCATGATCCTGGAGTCCTGGCATTGAGCCCCGCATTGGGCTCCCTGCTCAGCAGGAAGCCTTCTTCTCTCTCTCCCCCTACCCCTGCTCCTGCTTTTTCTTTCTCAAATAAATGGGTAGTCTTTAAAAAAAAAAGAAAGAAAGAAAGAAAGAAAAAAGATTTTTAGCAAATGCCCAGTGGAAAGTTACAAAGTGTTTAAAAGTTGAATTCAATGTACTTAACATGTAAAGAGCTATCTCAAAATCATAAGGGAAACCAAATCTGTAGATAACTGGACAAAAGATAGGAATAAACTGTTTGCAAATATGATAAGCAAGGACATGGAAAAATTGTTCAGGTTCACATAGTATAACAATGCAAAGTATGAGTGTTAATATTCTACAGGATAACTGGCCTACTCCCTTCAGTAAATTATTCTTATAAGAAAATAATAATAACAGGGATTGGCACTGTTCTAGATTAAAAGAGACTTTCGAGGCTTAACAACAAAATGCAGTGTTTGGTATTTTGATGCTGTTTTAAACAAGCCAGTAATAAAAATCCTTTTGGGAGCAGGAGGGTATAAAGATATGAACTGAGTATTAGATGATTTTAGGGGATTATTTATTAGATGTGACAATGTTATGGTAGTTACAATTTTTAAAAAAGTTCCTTTAAAGAAAGCATGCTATAGTATTTAGGGATGAAATATCATGACATCTGCAATTTGCTTTGAAATACTTCAGCCAAAAATAATCAAATGAAGACAATTGCTAAATCTAGGTAACTGATGTAGTGATGTCCATTATATTCTTTTCTCTAGTTTTCTGTGTGCTTAAAATTGCCATAATGCATTGAAGATATATTAAGGAAAAAATGATGAATTAGTCAAAATAAGTGTAACTAAAGAGAAGAGTTAACTGCAAATCAAGTCTTCATATCCTGCTAACTGAACATTTTAGGTAGTGTACTGATTATAATGTGATATTCCTAAGATTTATTTACATTTTCTATCATACCATAATGACAGGAAACATAGATTAATCAAGCTAAATGTAAAAGGTACATAATTTCTGGGAAAGTCTATGTATTTCAAAAAGTAAAGTGTATGAAAAATGGATTTATGATACCCAAGAATAAACAAATAGGCCTTTAGAAATAGAAAGGGAGGGGGGTGGGAGGATGGGTTAGCCTGGTGGTGGGTTGAGGAGAGCACATTCTGCATGGAACATTGGGTGTTATGCACAAACAATGAATCATGGAACACTTCATCTAAAACTAATGATGTAATGTATGGGGATTAACAGAAGAATAAAAAAAAAAAAAAAGAAATAGAAAGGGACTCTTCCTAATGACCAGTTTCAGTTTGTATCACATTGGACTGAGTAACTAGCTTCCATGCCCTGATAAGAATCATTTAGTTCATACATAAGATCTTGCAAACCTCAAATGGTTGAAACAATCTAGAAATAGGTATGATTTTATTTTCTTTATTTGGGTTTTGAGAAGGTATAGAAGTAGTATCTAAAAAAAATTTCTGAAATCTCAGAATGTATAAAATATATGGGGAGAAATAGCAGGAGCAGAAGAAAAATGAAGAAGAAGAGGAAGAAAAGAAAGGGGAAAAGAAGAGAGAAAAAATTTTATTTATTTATTTATTATTTTTTTAAAAGATTTTATTTATTCATTTGACAGAGAGAGACACAGTGAGAGAGGGAACACAAGCAGGAGGAGTGGGAGAGGGAGAAGCAGGCTTCCAGTGGAGCAGGGAGCCCAATGTGGGGCTTGATCCCAGGACTCTGGGATCATGACCTGAGCCGAAGGCAGACACTTAACGACTGAGCCACCCAGGCACCCCGGGATAAAAAATTTTAATAATTGGTGATACCTGGGTGGTGCAGTTGGTTAAGGATCCAACTCTTGGTTTTGGTTCAGGTAGTGATCGAGCTCAGGGTCATGGGATTGAGCCCAGAGTGGGGCTCTATGCTCAGTGTGGAGTCTGCTTAGAGTTTCTCTCTCCCTGTCTTTCTGCCCCTCCCACCCATGTGCTCTCTCTCTCTCTCAAATAAATAATTAAAATAAAAAATTTTAATAATCATATTTACAGAATGTAAATGTGAATTTACCGTTTGGTCTTGAAATCGTTATGATACTTTTTGTATGTCTTCCATGTATACCCGCAATATTCATATTTCTCTGGCATCATAAATTTGTTCAACTTTTGGGAAACGAAATAGTAGCAAAGTTTCAGAAGACCCACAGAGCCTGACCAATGGGGAAGAAAGAGAAGAGGTGTCAGCATGGGTACTGATGGGATAACGTGGGCAAGGGAAGGAATTAAAGGTCCAGAGAAGAAGGAAGGAACCAGCTGAAAAGCCTGGTGAAGAAAGATTGTGATTAAGGCAGAGGGGCCTAATATTTATCCCTGGAATCTCAAGGTCAGGGATTTTATGCAAGGAGATGAGCCCTATGGAAGAATGGAAGTGGGGAAAAGAAAAGATGAAGAGAAATATTAAGTGCACAAGAGAGATGAACAGAGTAGCTGCCGCAGGAGGTGACTAGAGAGGGGGATGAGAAAGGAGGTTTCTGAAAAAGGGTGATTTGGGGGGAGATTTGTTTGCTTTCTTTTGCTTTTTTTGGTTTTGTTTATAATGGTAACATCAAGAATTGGGGATAATAGGCTAAATCTGTGATACTGTATCATCTTTGTATCATTTGATAACTATAGTTATGTAACTGACATAAATTCTTCCATGAATTCAGAGTGTGTGTGGAGGGTGGGGAGATTGTTGTTTCTCAGTGCCTTACTAAGAACAACATGCTTCTTATTTCCCCCAAATTACCCAAAAATACTCAGGGCTTGGGGGAGGGCTTGACTCCCACATTCATGCCCAAACACAGAGTCTAGTAAGTCCTCTACTTTATTGCTTTTCACTCACATGGTATGGCTGCACTATTTTATGGCCCTGGAATGATGATCTTGTTCAAGTAGACCATTGCATAGGTCAGTAAGGTTCTTTGAAGGCAGATGATCCCACTTGTTTAGTGCTAAGTGTGGCCCCAAATGTCCCACTTAGAGCAACTCAGGGCTCCACATTTTTAAATGCTCTCTTGCAGGACTGTAGAGTCAGCTGATTTCAGCATCTGCATCTCAATGGATCCAGGACCCAGATTCTTTCTTCATTCCCCTCTCCAGGAATTCAGTTTAGAGATTGGGCAGGCTTTCCTTTTCAACCCTTAAAACACATAGGGTCTGTACCTCTCTGCCTTTGTATGTCATCTTGGTATTCCAAAGCCCATTTTCACAATGATTTCAGAGAGCCCTATACTCATCTTTCTGGGGTTCCAAAATGATCCACTCATATCTCTTATTGGAGAAGAAGAAAATTTGCAATGTAACCTTGTAACTGTTAGGAAGCAGGAAATTATCAGTGAGTATAGGTCTGTAATCACAACATTTAGGAGCAAAAGCTAATATCCATTGATTTACTTGTATCCAGAAAGAATTGTATGATGTGTAGACAAATAGAAGTGTATAAGTAAACTCATGCAAGCAGTTATTTACTTTTTCATCT